TGTGGCCTTAATACTTAGATGGGTGTGTGTTTTCGTATTTTTTATGCTTTCTGAATGCCTCCAGGTAGATGTGATCAGGAAATGGGCTTCCCTTTTAACTGTTCTTCCTTTATCTCAGCGGTTCTGCCAGGCATCTGTGGCCGCTCCGATCCTTTCCCCACGTGGTCTCACCCAAAATGGCGGCTCCTGGAGCAGCGGAGTGTCCTGGACTAGAAAGCAGTAGATTTCTTGCTTCTGCCACAAATTTCCCCAACTGTGAGCCTTCCAACCTTCTAAGTATTCCTTTATATGTGGTTCAGAGTTCTATGACCATCCCCTGAACCTGCTTGGTCGGGTATTCTGTGTTGTTGGCGGAGCTCTCTGCTATAGGTCCACCCGATCCGCCATCTTGTTTGTTCTCCTACCCTCCAAACGTTCTTATCAAGTATTTTCCAGCTGGAGACAAAAATTCATTGCAGTAGCTATAGAGCTCATAGACAATGTTCACAGTTTTGGAGTTTACTGGGGAAGTTAACAGTTACAATTCAGGACCACAAATGTTCAGGATACAGTTCTGTGGTCAAGACAACCTCTTCTCTGTTTACCCACAGGCAAGCATCCCTGTGGCCCCCAGCCCCTTGGCTTCACCTCTGTCTTGCTCAGGCAGTGTTACTAAGCTCATGCATGCTGAAGATTTGCTACAGTTTATCATTGTATATTTATTCTTTCCTTCAAGGAAGTCACATTTTTCTATTTTAAATTTGTCTATTTCTTCAATAATTGCAACTCTCCCACACTTATGCTCTTATCTTTTCATTACCTCATGTCTCTTTCACATTGTTCTGTTTTCCTAGGATATGGAAGGATCCCTAAAAATGAATGCATTTTGTTTGTGCTGTTGCTCAGGGTCTGTACTTATATTCAGCCAGTTTTTATATTGATGCTATTTCATAAGAGAGTGTGGCAAGGTTTGAGCTTTTTCATTTTCACTCAATGCCCAAGATAGGTAGCAAATTTCCATGTCATATTATTTGGTCAAGGAGCAGAAATTTTATTGTTCCCAATTCGTACACTTGGCAACCTTTCTGTTGGATTTCAGGTTCAGGTTCTGCCTATCATGGGCCCAAG